CTCAACAGGAATTGATTCCGATACTATACTCATACTTAATAGTCCAACCGTTCAATAGGTAACCACCACATATAGAAGAGGGAAAAAACGTTTACTCATACTACAAAGAATAGTCAGTAACTGAAATCAAAAAATGGGATGAATATTGAAGTAGAAGATAACCTCTTATACATAATGAAGCTGGACATGTATATCTTCAATTAGCCAAAGTCAAGAATAAAAATGATAAATCCTTGATAAATGTCAAATGCAGTAAATCTCTAGAATTTAATTCGACGATCTTAAAATGTTGTCCTTACTTTGATATTGATAGGGATTTGATCTTAAATGTAGACTTTAAATAATTCGATAGATATACTGTGGTGTGTGCTACTTATATTGACATAAGTAGTATATGACATTAGTAAAGAACAAAATGTCTGGCAGCAGAGAGACAAGAGGACCGAACAGTAAAGAATGGAAACAGAATGTAATTTGTATGAAAATGCAAGAACAATGAAGTCTGAGTCATTTTGAGACAATTGATGGTCATTTACCAAATTGAGTATTTACTATATGGTTCTCAGATTTTATTGAGATGCTCTGTGATTTTGTGTTAAATACATTCGATTGTCCCCACTGGTGTTCTGTTCACTAAAATACTTATAATCAAATCTTGAATACTAAAAATACCATTTCAAGATAAGAATACAATGTACTGAATAAATTAAGAATTAAACTATTCCGATGGAGAGAAAAAAATCCATCATAACACAAGTTAGACATTAATACCGTTGGATATCGTTTCAGTGGTCTAGAGGTTAAGTATTCGCGCATGAGACCGAAGGTCTTAGGTTCGAGTCCTACATGAAGGATCGTGGATGTACACTACTAAGGAGTCTCATACTAAGACGAAACATCCATCCACTGCTTCCAGGTTTTCCAAGATGGATGGTGGATGGTAACTATTGTGCTCTGTTTATGGACTAATACTATAGATATATTTTTATTGTATAATTGTTAAGTAACCAAACTATGCATATTCATGTTCCTCTTATTATAAGCTTTATTCTGACTTATAGACGATTATTATACGATTTACCGTTCTTGAGTTATACCCAGTCTATGAATTACAGTCTCCCACATTTACAGCCACTTTTGGCTAATTCTTGTACAAATGTTGTTTCATATTTTATGGTACGATGTGGTCTCTTTGGTTTGTATATAAACCGAATATGTTTCAAATACATGATTCATATCGCAGAGGCTGATATTAGTGTTCTGGACTCAACAGGCAGGGGTTAGACAGGAAGAAGGACCGATATGGACGTTATATTTTAATAGGGGCACAAGGTCATAAGTTATAACATTTACATCACGAACTGAAAGGATTTAAAGTAACCAATCAAAAACCAAGAAGTACTAGATAGATGTTTTGTTTTAGTGTAGGAATTTTTACAACAATTAAATCCAGGATTTTCAGACCTTATACAGTGACAGTATTACATTGAAATCAGTGAGCTGGTATCCAATGATTCGAATTTTCTACTTTTATTAATTTACAATACTGATCTACCGTCAATGGTTGACTTATATCACTATTGTGGATGTGTTTTTCTAAAAAGTAAAAAGGTAGTGCCTTTCCTAGGTTTTAAAATTTGTTTAGCTAAAGTCAACTCGTGATATAAACCGTCTCTGTTATCTTAGAAGATGATGATCACTAGGCGAAATTAATCTAATTAACAAAAAAGAAACTCTGTAGTATCTGAATCTTTAATGATACTGAATAACTGGAGATAATAAATCTACGTAATATATGAAATGGTAGGTAGTTGATAAAATAGAGTAAGTCAGCTATAATATAGGACCAGGTACATATATGCATTAATCAAAATTGAAATACTTCACTAGTACAACAAGATGAACACTAAATTCATAGAAGCAGTTACTTCAATGGAGAGAAGTAAAGTTTCATAACTTTGATTAAAACCTTTGTAAACAGATCATTCAATCGTAGTCAAATTATTTTGATTGAATTAATCATTGGTCAATAATGACTCTAATTTCAGATGGATTAGTGGTTATTTCTTCTGAAAGCTTTCCATGAGTAAATTACCATTTCGATGATCTTCAAATTATTACAATATTAATGTCAACTAAACGGTTATATCAGTGGTAAAGTTATGAAATCAGTGAGCTTTAAACCACTAAGTTGTAAATTGAAACCTTCATTTGAGTAGTCAGACGGTGGTCGAACGCGTCGACAACTTCACTAATCTTGGAAGTCTCATCAGCCCTAATGGGTTGGTGTCTGACGAAATCTCAGCACGGATTCGAAAAGTTCGTTTGGCTTTTGCCAACTTACGTCACCTTTGGCGAAGGCGAGATATCCATCTCTCAATAAAAGGACGAATATACTGCGCGGCAGTCCATTCTGTTTTAATTTACGGCAGCGAAACATGGCACTTAAGAGTAGAAGACACTCGTAAGCTACTAGTATTTGACCACATATGCCTTAGAAATATTGTTGGCGTCTGCTGGGATCACCGGGTAAGTAATAGTGAGGTTAGACGCAAGGTATCAGAGAATGGTGGTAAATCAGTTGATGAGGTTGTGAATCTTCGTCGACTGAGATGGTTGAGCCACGTGTTACGTATGCCTGAACACCGATTACCACGACGTGCAATGCTAACCTGTGTTGGAGATGGTTGGAAGAAAGTTTGGGGTGGCCAAACCAAAACATGGCATCAGCTATTGAAGTCACTAACTTCTAGTCTGAACCATGTTGGGAGATGCAAACTACTTGGTTGGGGTCTGCGTCACTATCGCAGCCAATGGTTGCAGACTCTTGGTAACATGGCTCAGAATCGAATACAGTGGCGTCGGTGTATACAATCTCTGTCTTCCCTTAAACTAAGAGATTAAAATCGCTTCATATCTTTATTTCAATCAACTAATTCATTCTTCCTGTACTATATCCTTATTGCAATCTTTCTTTTATATATTACCACTACTGAATTAACTACTTTTATGAATCCGGTGTTCATCTTGTTGTGTTAATGAGGTATGGCAACTTGGACCGATGCATATATGTGCCTGGTCCTACGTTGTAGTTGACTGACCGCTTCAATGGAGAGAAGAAATCAGATGCGCCACACAATCACAATGAGAATGTGAAGAGATAGAGAATGTAAAGTGTGTATAAGAAGAAGGAGAACAGCAAAGAACAAAAATTAGTGTATGACAGTGAAGTAATAATAATAATAGCAATGATAATACTGGGAGAAACAGTTCAGTTAGCAAAAATATAATCAGAATAAATTCTGTCAATTAAAGAAGTCACGTTCACTTTTTACGAAGAAAGTACGAGAAAGTTAGAGCAGGATCGCCACCGACTTCTATTCTAAGTCATATCTGATGACGTTTCTAGTCACTGTGTTACACCACCGCTAAGATCCTAGCCAGGGAGTCGTGAAAGACCAATAGAACCCAGTCATGTACAGTTTTCTTTCATACCACCACACCATCTCATACACTGACCACCTCTCCCTTCTTTCCAACTAGTCTTGACTGCTTCTATCTGCTCACTATTCACAAAGAGTACAGAATCACGGTCCTAACAGTCTTGGAAAAGTACTTTGCACTTCGAAAGTTCAGAGTACACATCATACCTACAGACACTAATTGCCAACTAATTATGTCAGCATTGCATGGCTTACGTATCATCCGAATACTCACGCTCGAAAATCTTTCCCCAGGCGACAGATTCACACAAACATTACATACATCAATCACAGCTGTTTCAAAAACGTCATTCGTAGCAAAGTCGAAGAGGAATGGTGAGATTACGTAACCCTATCTAACTCCACTACTTCAATGGAACAAACGACACAGGTGGTTGTATGACCTCACTTTACCTCATGTGTTAGTCAGTTAGTACAGAGGGCTACCAAGATGTTAATAACCTCCCCAGGCACATCCTTCTTTAATAGACAATCTCAGAGAACAGTCGTGTCCAACGAGTCGAAAGTGGCCTTAATGTCAGGAAACATTATGATTGTTGATTTGTGATAAGTCTGACAGTGTTCTAACATTTGGTGGAGGGTGATGATATGATCAATATATCCTCAACCAGAACCAAAACCAGTCAATCTTCCTCGAACTTTGAACAATCTACGATGTATGACGGAAGCCAATAGTTTGGACACAATTGGACGTAGGCTGCTACAATCTCACATAAATTATACTAATCACGGATTCATAACAGAATTTTTCTTTCATATAACTTGTACTAAAGTAAGAAGTATTGCTAAACATTTCACATATACACAAACACATGCTAAAAGCAAAGCTTGAAATCAGTTACATAAAGTTGCAGTTAATTTCATGATTTTCATGCTTACGACAGAGAATCCCAAATATACCACCACACCAATTGGGCGCTGATGATCTTTTCCAGGATGATAATTCAAACTTTATAATTAAACCATCTAATCCAAAGAATACTAAACCACGAAAAAGCGTTCATCTAAATTGTTTTGAATCTACTTCATCATTTGAAATTCTTTAAAAATTAATTCAGAATGATAATAATTGCTAATATTATAACATTGATAGTGAGCAGAAAGAGCAAAAGTAAACGATAAAACTGTGCATGACAAGTAAGTGTCAGGCGTTTAAACCGGGTAGATAGGTACGGAGAATCCACTTAGGTGAGTTAGAAAACCCTAGTTTCAAATCAACGATGAACATACGCTCTAGAATCCTGAGTTAGAAAAAATGGTGTATGAACCTGTTTTCAGTCACTGAATAGCGTGGAACCTGATCTCCTAATGTTGTTCCACTACCTTGTGGATTAGACCTGTGTCAAAGGTTCAGAAAGCGGTCCCCTAACAAAACCATCTGCTCCGGTTTGAGAACCCAAGTAATATCCCAGTCTACACACAACTCCAGTTATTTGTGTCAATCTTTGTGTGTTTATATAAATTAAGTAATAATAAAATAAATAAATAGTGACTAACCAACATAACCAATTTGTATGGCTAATTTAGTTAATTTTGCTTGTAACACAGATTGTTCTTTACGACGTGGTTTTTTCTTCGGTTTCGAAGTCTGTTCTGTATCAGATTCAGTTTTTGTTTTATTCTCTTTTGATTTCATTTGATAAGCATCGGAATTAGCAGATGGTACTTTGTTAGTGTTCTTTTTCCCTTTTTTACCATTCTTTTTAGTTTTGCCTAAATAAAAAAGAAAGACAGGTGATCATTTGATTTTACACTAGTGACTGTTCTTTACTATGACTTGAAAAAAAAAGAGGTTATATTCAAGGCAACGTACTAATAAACAACTTAGCTTTCACAAAGATGGTCATACATGAGACAAACAATGATAACTGAAGTAATCCTTTGTAAATTGAACGATTGAATTTCAACCGGATGATAATCGAAACTTGCAATGAAATTTCAAGATCTTGTGTTCGATCTTATTCTCTACTGGAATGATTAATTAAATACTGATAAAAGGTCTTAAACTTGGAATCCTGGAGGTAAACAGAAAAGAGGAAGGTCAAATAATACACTATCTCGGGAATTGGAACCAGGCATCCAAAGGATGAATAGCGACAGGAAATGATTGCCCAAGACAGAGTTGGATGGAGAATGTTGGTGAGCGGCCTATGCTTCTCCATGAGTAGTAACAAGTGTAAGTAAATAAGAATAACAACAATAACAAATACTCAGACAAGGTACTATGTTAATGGTTAAAAAAACAAAACAAATGACTCACTTTTCTCTTTTTTGTTCTCTTGACCACCTCCACCATGTTCATCATGAGAACCAGAAGATAGCAAAGCAAATATTATACCAGCTTGTGAATTCGGTCCAACGGCAGTAACAACCATTTTACCGGAACCTTCCATAACATGAGTGCCTATAGGGAAGAAAAATAAATATGTTTATTTATGATTAAAAAATGGAGAGAAAAAAAGATCGAAGTCTATCAATTTAAATGAAACTCAAATTGTATAATGTTCATTTTTGTTTGATCGTTTGATAAGTCAGTCAGTCAGTAACGACGTAGAACTTCATACGTACGTACATCAGTTCAAGTTGCCACACTTATGACATGATTGTGTGTAAAGAATGGCATAGAAATAAATGAGTACTTGAGATAATTACAATGTGTACTTAAAATATACATAATAGAAGTTTATCTGTTATATCCTCTTATACGGAGTTATCATTTGGGAAACCAATAGGAGTCAAAATGATCTCAATCTCAACTCAAGATTAATCTTACCAGTCAAAATGTTTTATTGGTTACAGTTGAAGGTTTTAAACTATAGACGAAATAAAACACAGGAACAGAATAACATAACAGGATTCTCTAGATATCAATAATTGACTAATTGACTTTAATTTGACAACCATCGAAAACCATGTTAACTACTGGATACTAACTCCTCTATAAATCTTGAACATCTTGGATTCGATCTCCAGTAAGGTTATGAATGCACACACTACCACAGCTAAACACTAAGAATACACAAAAGCAACATCATACATCATTTAACCATTTATATCTTAAACTATAGATGTTTTTTTTAATGAAAAATAAGTGAATATTTAATACGTGACGAATACATCACTGCTACCACGAATATGACTACTACGAACTGTAATAATGTCAAGTAGTCGGTCAATCGGTTTTATTCTTTTCTTAATCCTTATTACAAACATACACGTACACACACATTAAATAGAAAAGAAACCTGTGAAAAAACTTACACGCAAATCATGGTAGAAATTGAGTGAGTGAGTGAGTGAGTGAGTGAGTGAGTGAGTGAGTGAGTGAGTGAGTGAGTGAGTGAGTGAGTGAGTGAGTGAGTGAGTGAGTGAGTGAGTGAGTGAGTGAGTGAGTGAGTGAGACAAATGAGCTCAACTGTGAAATAATCATGATGGAATTAAAAAGTTTCTATTACAAAAAATTCATTTCACATAACCAAATAACTAAATTCACATCGCTTTATCAATAACTTTAACCTCTTATCAATTATAGTTATTAATTTTATTTGTAAAACAGGTCATCAACACAAAAGGACTAATTCAAGTTGATTGAATTGAAGAGAGAGAGAAAACAGTGTTTATTTAACAAATTATTTTGTTCCACTGGTTGAAATTATGAGTCGATTGAAGCTAGACCACCATGGAAAACCTGGTAGCACTGGACAGTACGGGACTCCTCAACAGTGCGCATCCACAATCACGCACCCCGTGAGATTCGAACCCAGGATCTATCAGTCTCGCGCCAGGCACTTAACCAACTAGACCATTGAGCTGGCATGCAACGGTGTTAATGTTTAACTTCAACCAATTATTTTGTATAACAAAATGATATGAATAGATAAATCAAGAAGTCATAACAATGAACGGAAGCTATTTTTTTGAAGATGTCGTTTCAATTTATTCAAAGTTTGTCAAGTACTTATATTTAAATTTGTCCCTAGTTTATTCCATAAATTATAAGCTTTCATTTGATGTGCGATTCATTACCGTATCAGTTTCCATTCCAAAGCTATTGTAATTTAAACATAACCTTTAATACATTATTTTTCTAGCCTAATGCTTACTTTACACATCATTGTGTTTGTCTAATTGTTTGTACTAGGTGGTCGTCTTATTCATCTATTAATTCATATATCTTCTTACATTAATCTGAATTGGGAATAGGGAATAAATCAAGTAGTATTTCAGTTAGCTCATTTTCTTTCTCGTTCTCTCGCCTGTCAACCAATCAGCTGATAGAATAGCTTCGTCTCTCCGACCAAAGTCGTCACAATTCAGACTCACACATTTCTAACCTCAAGGTTGACATCAGTTGACCTATCGTGTCAAGGCCTAAACCTAGATCGAGACAAGTTTTCACCTATATATTATTGTGTAGATGAATCAAAGACGTAACACAAAGATTTGTGAGAAGTACAACAAAAATGTCATATCTGGCATTTTCAAGCAATTCTTTGTTTATTTAATAAGTGAGTAACGAATTTAAGATTATGAACAACACAGCCGTAAATGCCCTGGTACGACCAAGAGTGGAGAGAGTCAGCTCTCCCCAGAAAAATGCTCTCACATGACCACGTGCATACAACGACCGACAGGGAAGTCCTACTCAGTGCCTTCTCGCATCACGAGTGCTTTTTACGAAATTAAGAGGACAAAAAGCAAATGTTCGGCGCTTTAACCAGGTAGGTGGATCCATCTGGAGGAGTTAGAAAACCCTGATTCTAAACGAGTGGTTTACATGGGCTATGGGATCCTAAGGGAACAAATGAAGTGTGAACTTGTTGTTGGTTACTGACTACCATGGGACTACATCTCCTAACGTTTCTTCACTGACTTATGGAGTAGACCTCTAAGTCAAAGTCTCGGGGTGTTGACCCCCTAAGTAAACCACTTGATTCGATATGGAGCACCTAAGCAATATCAAAGCCCCCACACAAATCGAAAACAAATAAATAAATACTGTTGTAATTTGTATTTGCTGGCTTGACTAACTCTTCATTCTATTTTGAATATTTATCTTAACTTGATTCATTACATAATGTATCTAGTATAAGGGTTGTGGAGATTATTAAGTTTTTGATTGAGATCATGAAGCGATTGATGTTAGACCATCTTTTGGAAACCTGGAAGCACTGGATGTCCGTTTCGTCCTATTGTGGGACTCCTCAGCAGTGCGCATCCACAATCCCACTCGTGAGATCCGAACTCAGGGCCTTCAGTCTCACGCGCGAACGCTTAACCTACTGGACCACTGAGCCGGCATCCAATGGTGATAGTGTCTAACCTCAACTAATCCACAAAATCGCGCGACCAACTTTCATTGTACTGAGGTAGATACCTGTCTCTACCCGACATGGATTAGCTCCACTGCTGAGAAGTCCCACAATAGGATGAAACGGCCGTCCAGTGCTTCTAGGTTTCCAAAAGATGGTCTAACATCAATCGGTTCATGATCTCAATCAAAAACATAATGTATCTGTCAAATCATTACTTCTAATCAGTATAACCATTCACAACATTAGACAAGTTTTGTAAACAATATATGATGGGAAGCCATGAACAGTATACACTGATAACTTGATTTTATTCAACAAATTATTTTCATTCACTAGTCTCTACTTATTTTTGTTCAAATTTGAAAGACATAAGTATGATGGTATTGTTGTTCGTCTGTGTGTGTGTGTGTGTGTGAATGTGAAGCGGGGGAATAATAGAATTTTCAAAATGGACTTAAAGCGAGAAAAGAAAAACCAATTAAAGAAGTTACCTGAAAGTAGGACAGGATCTTTTGTTTCACTTTTTCTTACTTGATCCGATTCACCAGTTAAAGAGCTTTCATCAATTTTTAAATCATTACATTGTATCACTATACCATCAGCTGGTAGGAGATCACCTAGTAAGAAATTTAGGGGGGATTGAAGAGGAAAATTAGAAAAATAATATCACGTAACTATTCGTAATAAGAAATAATGGTATTTCATTGAATAAGATAGATAAAAGTGTAACCGCTTCTCTACGGTAACTCATACCTTGATATGTAATGATCAAGCAAAGATACCGATCGAAATGGATTGGTTAAAATATTTGCTTTATTTAGGTCCTACAATAAAAGATATTTGAGTTGGTGTGGTAAAACTAGAGGTAACAAACTCATGGTCCGTACTGATGATGTTATTAAGGTGTAGGAACTGTAAGATGTTTCCTACAAACACCAATACTGTATTAACACAACAAAAGCTAGTGGTGAGAAAAGGTTGACCCTAGAATAGGTACACTTCATCTTAGTCGACAGATTCCTGTTGCCTGAAGTAAGGACTAAAAAGTATGATGCTGACACAATGAAAACTTCTTTTAGGAGGGTCGTGTGTGATCGGTTTCAAGCATATTTATGCACGTAAGTACCTTAGTTTACATATGTGCGTACATCTATAGGTTCCAAATTAGGGCTTTCCTTGTTTCTTTATATAATTGCTCTCGATAATCTTATAGAAAGCCGACTGATTTTTAGCTATGGTTGTGTGCACTTCACTATATATACAAGGTGAGGTGATGGATTTAATTAACGAATCAGTTCAGTTCGATTATCATAAGACAACTACCGATACAGAAATGTAAATATGACGATATTTACGACTCACACTTACGTACAGGTACGATAAAACAGAGAACGTACGAAAGGGGTAGATATATATATTCTATGCACAATAAGACAATAAATAGAACAACACATGTTCTGCAAATATACAAATACAATTATCAACCTGTAAGTGGTCAATAAGACTTTCTTAAGAAAGTGGAATACTGATTGAAATAACTATAGACTAGAAAATTTTATTCCGCATTATATATATATATTTATAGGGTTAAGCGTTCGCGAGCGAGACGGAAGGTCCTGGGTTCGAATCCCGCGTGCGAGTTGGTGGATATGTACTGTTCAAGAGTCCCGTTCTAAGATGGAACGGTTGTTGAATGCTTCCACGTCTTTAATGGCGGCCTAGCTTAGCTTGACCCATGATTTCAACAGTGAATATATTTATACATTAGTTTAATATACAAACCAAAAATTAATGATTCTTTAATATCGAAATGTAAGACGCCATAAGAGCCAATGATGTATGCATACTTTTTGTATATTGCACACATATAGGCACGAGAATATAATCATTAGGTAGAGAAAGAGAGAGTATGTGGGGAATGGGGTCTATAAAGTAGTAATAATAATAAATACCCATTCTTATGCTTTTTGTATATAGCAGGGCAAATGGGAAAAAATGAGAATTCTATAAATTCACTCGCACATATATATGAAACCATTCAAACTATGCAAACTATTTATTGATTGATTAATGTATTTTACATCAAAATTAAGCAAGTAGTCAGTAAACTAGGTATTTATGAATAATATTAGGGACATATTGTTTGGTTACTAAGTTCAACTGTTTAGCTTCAATGTGTGGGATTATTTTTTTTATGACAAAAGGAAACCATAGCTAAATCGAATAATGAACAAGACGAAGAAGAATATTCCTCGAATCTGTAATTCACTGATTGTAAATCGAGTATTTTAACGACAAAAACAATCTGAAATCTAGATTCAATCTCACTATTGTTGATTATAATGAATTGACATAGAATTCCCATTTCAGAGAAGGGATCTCTTCTCAATGACTCTAGTCCTAAGCTAATACTCTAACCCTAGCACTAAATTCCGTATCATAATTCTAACCAAACACTAAACGCTACATTGGAACCTTAATGTAAACTGAAACTCTATATAATAATTGCTTTGTTTTTAGAAACGTTATAATTTTTCATAATGTAATCCAGCTGCCAACCATCCCTCCGTTACTTCATACATTTCATCATCCGTAGATGACGTGTTCACTTGATTCGTGCACAGTGACCTAGAAACGACTCAATCATTCACCATTGGTTTGTTCTTATGGTTCAGATTACACTTTTAAAGTGTCTTTATATCCCGTTCTAATTGTAAACCTTCATTCAATTCATTAACTGTATTCACATTATTTTACTCTTAAGAAATTACAATTAATAAGTTAAGTACGTATTGTTCATTTTCTACTACACATGATTTAATTATGCGCAGATGTTGATTTGTCCTTTATGGTGACTTTTGGTTGTGTGATTGATGTACATTATTAACATTAAATCATCTGAGTATTGAAGTCGCAAGAATAGACGGCAAATCAACTTCCTGTTTTCCTTTTCTGACTCGACATCAGGTACAGAAGAATCCATGTGAATCAATAAGTGTTAGGATAGCCAATAGTAGTTAATATTCATAGTTTTTATTGATTAGGCGAAGGTTATTAGCATTATTGGTTCAAGGAGAACTCCTCATTAATGGACTCGATAATTCAGCGATCCCATTATATAGGAATATAGAAGTTGAATTAACAACATAAGTCACTTCGAATTCTCTTTGTCGAATTTCGGTAAATTTTCTCATTTATTAGTTGTCTATCGATCAAATTTACTAAAGTAGAAGGAGGTTTTAAACCATAGTTAGTTTTAGAAACGTTTTTGCCAGGTATCATTTTAAAGGTATTACATTTATTGAACTGACTGGTTTAACTAGGTAAACTTCAATTATTAATTGCTGGACAACATCATCAACCTTTTACTTCGTAATATAAACCTGTTTATTTTGAAATTCTATTTGTGATTGGTCAATGGGGTATATGGGTCATGCCAGGTCATGTAAAACTGAGTCAAAAAAGCGTGAAAATATTGTATTTGATTATAATATTACCTTTATCGGTAATAAACCTATGATTAGGTAAACTATGAAATCTCATGTTCAGTTAGTTTCGATCATTTAAATTGACCTAACCAATTAATTCACTGGAATAATTCATAAATCATGTACACATACATATATACAAGTAGACATCGATGATAAACCACACCTCATTGTGCTGTTTATTGGTGTATTATGAGTAAATCTGTTTGTTTTTCCTATCAACGAAATAGTCGTAGCGGGAATTTCACACATTTGACCTTAATTAAACAAGAATAGTTAAGTCGCAGCTATTGCAAAAATATGTAGATTGAATAGACAATGTGCACATAAGGCACCGCCCTAGATTATTTCAAGTATTGAGCAACTATTAAACATTCATTCCTTACAGTATATGATTTAAGTGTACGGTTATACATACTACTAAATACATATGAATAACAGTAAACAGCGTGACATGTACTATCATAATCTTTGACGAAAATCAACTTAGATCATTTGAATAACAAAACTGATCGACTACTGAACAGAAGTAGCAGTAGTAGTGTTGTGAATGACGAAATGCAAAATCACATAGTGCCTTCGCAAATTATGTAAATCATACTTTGAATACATCATTTGCACATTTTCCTTCGGTTGTCCTTTAGATAGCCCAGCATTCTACCAACTCTGTTGTCACCCCGACTTTCTTTTGTTTTTCTTCCTCTTCTCTTTATTTCAATCGTATGCTGGTAAGCATTCCACATCCAATTCTTACTACAAACTACTTACATCTGTCCGCAAAAGTAGTGTACACCACAGTAGTAGTAGTGTAGTCAACAAAACACGGGTGGGAACAATCGAATGTGTTTAACACAAAACTACAGGACTTGTTCATAAAATTTAACAAACATAAAGTAAATGCTTAATTTGCAAAATGTCTATCAATTGTCTCAAAATCACTCAGACTTCATCGTTCTTGCAATTTCATACAAATTGCATCCTGTTTTCATTCTTTACTGTTCGATCCCCTTGTTTCTCTGCTGCTAGTCCTTCTGTTTACGACTAACATCATATACTACTTATGTCAGTCAGTAGCATTAACCAATATCACAATGTTTAGTTATTAGTGCTAGGCGAATTTTATAGACAGAATTACAATAAATGACCACTAGTCTAAAAGAATCAATAGCATAGTGAACTGTGACTCATGTTAATTAAGCACTCATCCTGTGTTTACTTTCGAGTCACAGGTAACCAAACAAACATGTCTAGTATATATCTTGGTTACTAATACTCATTGAGCTGATAACAATCTGTGACCAAAAGCTTTTCTCGTCAAATGTGATTAATTTGGAAGGAATGCTGATTCATTTACTATTTACTTTATAATGAATCTCTTTGATCTTCCAATTGATACATTGAATCTAAATAAGCTGATTTGTCTGTCGCTTATTAACCTCTCTCTTTACATAAATATTTAGCTATGAGCTATACTTCTTGCATATGAAGATTACTAGTGATAACAATTTTGAGTAAATGGAAAAGAAAATTGAACATAACTGCTTAAATCACTGTCATTCATATCCTTTGCTCTATTTCCAATTCACATTGTTCTTTATTCAATGGCACATGAAAAGCTTAATATTGACATCAAGAGCCGATTTACATTAGACAGTCATCAAAAACCTGAGAGCACTAACGATCGATTCATCTTAGTACGAAGCTCCTCAGTAGCCAGTGACCACATGGTAATTGTCGATTCCCGGTTATGGGACTATGGATCCGTACTGCTAAGACCTATGCTAGGATGAAACGGCTGTCCTGTGCTCCCAAGTTGATGGTCGTCTAATTTGGAATAGTTCGTAACTTCAACAAAATTCAACAATCTCCACAACCGCATACTGAAAAATATCGTAATCTGCTAAACAATCAACTTACCATATTTCACTTGACATACATCACCAACAACAATTTCTTTTACAGGAATTTGTTTAGTATCACCTTTACGTATAACAAAAAATGTATGCTCTGATTCAATTTTATTTTGTAAACCACGAAATTGTCGTTCTTTTTGCCAATCATTCAATGCCACAACAAATACAACAACAAATACAGCAATTAGAATGGCTAAACCTTCAATCCAACCAGCTTGTCCTTCCGATTCATCAAATGTTGGTGCTTGTCCATCTAAAGAGATCAACGAGACAAAAAAAAAGAAAATTGATAGAGATTAGAAATAATGAGAAGTGTTGAAAAAAGGGCTTATTATATCAGGATTAGACTCCTAAATCGAGTAATCATGGAGCGGTTAGTCAGAGTGACTAAATCACTCGGCTTTCACCCAGTAAGTTATATATTTAGGCCCCAGTCCACTAACCTCTCTTTGGTCAGTCAGATACTCTTAATAAGCATGACTACCAATAATATTATTATCATTGTCATTATCAGAACGAGATTAGAACTGAAAAAAGACTTTCTCACTCCATAATATAAGCATTAAAAAGTACGGTAAGCCAACTTAATGATGTTTATGATGAGATTGAAGACGACTATATATTTAACAATTAGTAACGAAACTGCTATCAACAAAATTAAATTGTCTATTATTTATATCTAAAATAACAAACTGATATTACCTAGACCATCATTAAAAGCTAGCAAGGACTGGACTATTGTCTCGTCTTAGTATGGAAATGTGCATTCACGAAACGACCACGGGGGATCGATGCTACAATATTTGATCTCGCGCGCAAACACTTAACCTCTAGATCATTGAACTGGCATTTGTTGCGGTACATACTTAACTTCAATCAATTTCCAACGTTGCACGACTATCTTTCATTGCCTGAAGTGGATAATTGTCTCATACCCGACATAGCCGAACTCCGTTGATCAGAGCTTCTCAGTAGAACTCCAAAAGTTCCATCGTAAAGCTACTCAGTAGTGACTGCAGGATCATTATTAGTACATAAGGTGTAGAAACAACTAACTGTCAAGTGCCTCTTAGATTTCAATGGTTGTCTAGTTAAGATCAGTTTATGATTTAGAAACTATGAAAATTCTACAGTCTTTAAAAAAACGCTATTCACATCATTATTGTCAGTATTACGTAATAAAATTGACATACCAAAAACAAATACACAAACACAATGCTTAGTTTCATAATTTTACACTCATACTTTATCTCATATGGATTATAGTTCTTTTTATTATTGTGCTCATTGTAACGTCGGATGACTTCTTCCATTGAAGAAAAATATCTTTACATTCTTTTTAAACTATTAGAAAACATTTAATATATGACCAATTTTAACACAAACACTAAGGAGGCACCAAATACATATGCGCCACACAAATCTCATTTGATATACGCGTGGTCATGTGAGAGCATTTGGAGAGGGAGAGTGGACTCTCCCCACTCTCGGCCGTACAAAGGCATTTGGAGGCTGACACAAACACTATGTTTAGGTCTAGGTAGAGAAACTTTCTAAAAAGTGGGTGGTTGATGCGAGCCTAATCAACTACCTAGTTAAACATGTGATAAAATTTGTAGTTTCGATTCGTCACATACTGATTTCAATTGGAGCACCACCGAAAACTGGAGGGCATTTGATAGATGTCTAATTTTAGTGTAGGACTTTTCAGCAATATGAATCCATAAGACCATTAGGGGTCGAATTCAAAACAGACAGGTTCCTTATTATCCTAAATGAAATTAATCTGTAGCGAATACTACCTGAAAATCAAGTCATTCTCTACAAAAACGTTTCAAATAAATAAAACAGAAATCGTCATTGATTACGAACGGGAGGATGAATAGTGTTTGACACCAAATGGTTAGAAGCGACTAGGAACAAGGTTCGTGTTAGATAACCCACACAATAAGTGAAAATGTATCAATAATCTTAACAGGAACTATTGCACCCTTCTTATTATATTCAAAAACTAGGGTTACATCGTATCACAACCACAGATACTTTAGAAATAAACTCTCCAGAGGTATAATCGAAATATTGACATACTCATTTAACATTCATCAATATCATGCTGTTTACGTTCTATTATTATGACTATTAATATTGACAGATCAGTAATAAACATGAAAATATATATATATATATATATATATCTGAGAGTACATGTTTACTAAATACAATAATATCACAGCGGTAGTTACATTATAACAAGAGTACTGCATGATACCTTCGCTAATCACTAAGGTTAAATAAGTTTTATTGAAAAAAATATCAATAAATAAGGTACTCTAAGAACTATCTCTAAAACTAATGATGATAATAATTAGGTATTGTCTTAACTCTTATAAGAACTAATTCTTTCACTCATTATAAAACCTTAGAATCATAGACGATGAAGTAAATTACATGAGTTTGATTCATAATCCGGGTGGTTGTATATAAACAGCATAAAAAAATTTAAAAAAAAAGATGATAACGCATAAAATTTCAGTCAGTCTTGATTGTTGCTAGAGGTATGAGGTTGGTTATCACTTCCCTATTGCCCACACCATGGAAGGGTTCTTCTAGATGCAACTGAAAAGGAAATTGGATTAGAGGTGGTCTTAGTAACCTGAGAGTGTGACCGCCCCCAAACGCCCTGGTATGGCCGAGAGCGGGGTGGGTTCGCCCTCCCTCTCGAAATACTCACACGGCCGCGCGTATACAGCCTCTGCCAGGGAAGTCCTACTCACTGCCTTCTCGTGGCGGGGGTGTTGTTTACGAAAATGAGAGGACGAAAAGCGAATGTCCGGAGCTTTAACCGGATTCCAAATCTATGGTGCACATGGGCACCAGTATCCTGTGGGAACAAATGGCGTATGAACCAATTTTCGGTCACCGGCTACCATGGGACTGCATCTCCTTACGATGCTCCATTGCCTTGTGGGTTAGACCTTTAGGTCAAGGGGTCGGGGTATGGCCCCCTAAGATAACCACCTGCTTCGGTCTGGGCACCCGGGCAGTATCGCAGCCCACACGCAATTTATGAACTGAAATTGTGTGGCGCATATATATTTGGCGCACTCCTGTACCAATATATATGTGTTCAAATAAAAAAGTGTGACCACAGTGCCCAAGGGACAACTGCTTGAGGTCGATCATATACGACCTTTTGATAAGGAATTTTTTTGTTAGCTCCGTACTTGTTCAGACCGTACCACCGGAAATGGATATCCGTGGGATAAGGTGAGGTGTGCATTTCTAGGGTCGACCTTTTCTAACCTCACCACTTTTTGTGGGAAGGCAGCATCGTTTTCATGCTGGTTCTCTGAAGGAAACACCTTACTGCTGTCACACCTCTGTACAGTCAGCAGTCCGACTTCGCCTTCGGACCTTGAGTTTGTTGCTTTTAGTCCTACCGCTCTTCAACCGACCTTTCTGACGTGGTAGGACCTTGAGGAACGGTTGTTCTAGCCAGTATAGCTCGGTTGCTTCATCACGATAGTCAAGCCCGATCACCACGTCAAGGTAGCAACAACGGTCGGGCATAAAATTTATAAAAAATTTAATAATTTCACAACTAAGATAGTGTATTGATTTATTAAGAAAAGACCAAGGAACACAAATAACTGACTATTATGATAGATGATGATTCGAAATAATTATAGTAAGAATGATAGAATTAAGAATATGATTCGAAACGATGAAATTAGAAAAGTGTGAATAGAAGAATACTGAAAGATAAGATCTAGTGGAATATATAATGTGTCATTGTAACTGATTCTAAGCCATTTCATATAATATGTTAAACAACTGGTAATGATAGTTGTACATATTTACAAGAAGATAGATTCGACCTATCAAGATGACTTATACTAACAGTCGATAACTTCATGAATTCATGTCATATCTTGATTTGATGCAACTTACTTTTAATCCAGCCAAAATTGCATATCATGGATGAATTGATACTTAACACATATTTCAATCAACTGAAACAAAAAGCAAATTTACAATGGAAATTACCACAACTGATTGATCACTGAGTGGTGATCAATGTCATGTGTCAAGTCCTTCTTAGTGCAGATCGAATTCTATAGACCAAGTTGCAATGTGGCCACTAGTCTAAGCAACTCGACATTGGGTTTACAATGTTGAAACTACATGGTGGTTGGAGGTAGTCAGTAGGATACCCTGTTAACCCGGGTTTCGTGCTACTTGGCACTCGTCACCAAGGTGTGCCTGTAAACATGAGGGAACTGACGCCCCCCCCCCCTTGATTGATTCGACCCCGTGTCACCTAGCTTCATAGTCAGAGACATAACCACTGGGCTATCCGGGCCGCGACAGACCTCCTGTAGGACTGAGATGTAATCACAATTGATTGATCACTGGGTGGTGATCAATATCATGTGTGTCAAGTCCTTTTTAGTGCAGATCGAATGTTATTGACATGAAATCGAATCCGTCAGGGAGCACCAGCTCCCCAAGATTACAGGTATATCTTGCTGAGGAGTGCCAAGTAGCACGAAACCCAGATTCAGGGTTTCCTGTTGACTACTTCCAACCACCATCTGATGGAAATTACATTAAGAATTTTAATGCTTTTCAAATATTCAATCTGAAGAGTAGTCATGCCAAGTTTCTGATTTGTTTATGTTCTCTGCATATACACAGTATGAAGCCAATGAAGGTATAACTATTATTATAATTATTAAGCATTTAGATTACAGGATTTCAATTCAAATAATTTATGGTTTAAATGATTGACCAATAAGTCGAGAATTAAAACCCACCCTTCAAATGGTTTAGTTCAAACAGTATAGTAATATACCTAGACCTCTTGTAAACAAACAATCTAACTTAGGACTGAATAAATATAAATTTGTACTTTAATAAATTGAATTATAAATTAGATAAACTAAAAGTATTGTATTCGCTAAACAGTTCTAAGATCATAAGTTCAGCCTATTATGTTTCGTCGTGGTTATGTACTAGTGTGATGTGAGTTACTTGTATAAATATAAGTAATATATAACGGTGGTCAGGCATTGAATGTATTTCAGCAGCGGATCGATAAGGAAAGAATGGGAACGGAATGCAATTGGTATGAAAATACATGAACAATGAAGTCTGAGACAATGGCTTGTTATTTACAAGAGGAACAGTCAAGTTTAAAACGATGGATTGATATTTTGCAAATTAACTATTTACTATATAGTTCAGAGATTT